CTTCTTCTTTCGGCTGCTCCCTTCTTCAGGGGTTGACAGCGTGAAGACTTGGCAATTGATTTTACGCCGGATGTTCTTCCTGACACAACCACCGAGCTACCACAGCCCTCTGTGTAGAGCAGAGAGCTGCTATCTTGGGCATCCAGTAGATGGTGGGGGTTAAAGGCCTTGCTCAAGGGCCCAGAGTGGGGTAAATGAGGGTGGAGGCAGGTGTGGGTGCTTCACCTATCCCACCCACATTTTGATGTTGTAATTTGGGAGATGAACCGGCGATCTTCTGATCACAGCCTTCTCTAACCTCTGCGCCACCACTCCCTCTCATATACACATATGTATATATATGTACACGCACATACCCCCCCCCCCCCCCATATGTACAAATTTCTTTAATAAATATGAGAAAATTTGTGGCTAAATCTCAATTTCAACGGTGGATAAATACGGAACACCTGCAGCTCTAAAAAGCCACGTTCTGCCGACAGATTGAACTGCGAAACAAGAGCATCTGGTTAATCCCACGCCTCACTCATCAATACGTTCGTTGAATAGATTACAGGAGGTTACATTATCCACATTTATTATGGGTTGTTCTACAATTACAGTGAAAGTCTCAGCCCCCGCTCGCTGTCTAAGGAGGTGCTATTGATTTTTAGCAACAACAACAACAATAAAAAAAGATCAAGAAACATGGCATTAAATAAACTATTATTTTCATTACTTACAGTGAAATGTGGTAAAACACAAACTGGAATGAAAACTTGTTAGATTACAAACCAAAGTGAATAAATACCTTCTGCAAATGGCTTTTAAGAAGGCTGAACGTGTTCTTTTAAAAAATATATCACCAAACTGATTGTTAAAACACTTTAATCACTTTTGGTATCAATAGTGCTTTTTGGGGGTTATTCAAGTTTTCATAACATTTACACTCAGATTAAAGTTTTTGTTTAAATATTTCTGCTTTAAAAGGTTTAACTGTAAAGTTACATCAAGGTATCAAGTTTTAAAATGCCATTCACCATCCAGGTTAGTTTTCCCGCCTTTTTTTTTATCTGTCAAACTAGAGGGGTGCTTAAAAGTTTTTTAACATTTCTTTAGCCAAATTAAATGAATAAATACAAATGAGACAAGCTTATTATATTAGTTACTTATAAATTCGATTAATTAATGCTGATTCAGAAGTGAAAAACGTAAATTTCATAGAGCTGATTAGCGGTTAGCGTTAGCTTTGGTTGAACTGGTTTTGTGCCTTTTGTCTATGTAACTTTTTTCTCTTAAAACAGGAGAAATTTCTTGCAGTTTTCTAGTAATATTACAAACTCACTCTTCTATAGACACAACAAAACTGTCCCATACCATAATACTGCCACTGTCATGTTCTACAGTTAAGCTTTAGCTTAAAAACAGCAATTTTTTTTTTACCATTTAAACAAAAATATTTAGTTTCTACCGTCGAAAACCATTGTATTTTTACGGTCTTTGTAAAGACTCTCTCAAATGTGTAAAATTAAATCATTTTCATCAATAAATGTTATATTTGATCACATTTGTGTACTTTTAAGACATAAAATGACTAACGTTCCACCTACCCTCCATGCAAACCAAATACTTACCCTGGTTTTCTGACTGGTCGTAGTCCAAGTATCAAACCCCAAAAAAGTTTTAATGTTGGACGTTAATTTAACATGGTATATCATCTAAACTGCACTTTCTGTGATTGAAGAGGAATAACATGATCATCTGAGTCGCTGAGTTTGTTTCTATTCTATTCCCGCGGCCTCGTAATCTGAAACTATAGAAACCAGGTCACAAGAAAAACCAATGCTCCGTTAATTTCTTTACCATATTTTTTGGACTATAAGGTGCACTGGAGTATAAGGCCCACTGTTGATTTTTGAGAAAATTAAAGGATTTTAAGTGTGCCTTATAGTCCAAAAAATACGGTACATTTGTTATGTCTTTTCCAAACTGTTAAATGTTTTTAAAGCCTTTGTTCGAATAAAAGCGTAAAGTGTTTCCACTTTAGCCTCAAATCCCCAAATTAAAGCTTTAAGATCTGCCCGTGATCGAGATTGGAGTCGACTGCAGAAATCAGCTTTTTAATGACGCATAAGTGAGACGCTGCAAGGTTTCAACCAAGTTAGGAGCGATTTGAAGCAGAACAGAGGGAGGATTCAACACGGCGCTCCTAAAGCAGATTCAGTGTTTCCAATTACCGCTCGGCTGCTTTCGGAACAGCTGAACATTAAATATTGATCCGTTCATCACTGCTAACATTCATTTTTGTCTTCAGTGGGAATTTTCACCTGACCATTTCTTCTTATACATTAATCTCATTAGACACAATACTGAAGGTCCAATTAAAAGCGGAACACGACAAGCTGCCAATAAAAGATGATTACTGTACATAAAGGTACGAGGGATTAAGTATTTATTCATCATAATAAAACAAAGCTCCTCTGTTCTAGTAGTTCCCCTTTTATAGTTATTTTATCACATGCCTACATAAGGGTGGATTCAAAATGTTTGCTGAAAATGTGAATTATGTGTGAGCCTTAAAAATCCCAGGAAAAAAAACCCGAACCACAGAAATGTTGCGACATATCCAGATTATCTCCAATAATCTCTTCAGACATCGCTATGCAGGACTACCACCATGTGGCCATGAAACATTAACGCACTGTGTGAAAACAAAAAGGCGTTTTTACACACCGCATCTTTTATTCCCATCCTCTCAAACTTCACACTAAAAAAAAAATCAGCTGGGAAAACAAACTTTTACAAAAGATTTACAGATTTCAAAATAAGACGTCTGTTGTGTGTTTTAGGGACGCCAACTGAAAATTAAGAAAAACGAAGAAAAAGCATTTGATCTGAATTTAAAGTGTTTTCAGTCTCATTAACTGTAATAGAGCAACGTCTAAACCAGAACATGTCATTTTTAAATGCTTTAATGGAAACTTTGAACACAAGTTCCTCAATTGAAATTAACTTGACATTTTTAAACGAGGGACAGTTCATATTAATAAACGGAAATTAAAAAAAATACAATTTATGATTTATTACAGGCACTGACAGCAAAAATCTGATGATGGAAGAATCTATGATAAAACTAAATCTGTGCAAAAGAACGTCTATGAAACAAAAACACAAGAGGCGCTGGAAGGAATGAGTTTACAGCCGATCACATTAAAACAATTCACAAACCGACAAAGTAATAAATAGCAGGATATATATTTTTTACATATTTCCAACAGTAGTAGTGCTTAAATTTCCGGACAGCAGAATTTAACTCAACTGTAAACGAGGCTGAATGAAAACTTTTCACTTAGCAGGAGAAACAGATGTAAAGAAAAAAACGCCTCATTCTGTGTCGGATCCTGATTTAGCTCATACAAGGTGCTCGATTAAATCAGCATAAACGATTCGCGTTCACATTATCCAGATGATAAAAGTCCTCTCAGTAGAGTTAAACCCAACAACGTATTTAAATTGAAAGTTTGTCAAAAATTGAAAAAGTTTACAGAGCAAAAATCAACTTCACAGTGACCGAAATTTATTTTGTCCAAAATTGCTACAAAAGATAAAAAATAAATCTCATAAATTAATATTTCTTTAGTGGCATATTAACATTTATAACAATAACTAAGGGTTGCAAGTATTTGTTAATTTGTATGTTAGAAATGGAAAAACGCTGCTTTAAAGAAAGTGCATCATTAAGAGAACATAGCTAAAGGTTCTGCTAAACTCTTGCTAACAGCTAAACTTTGTTAACTAAATCTGAAAGATGGTTGATATGCATTATAATCTGGCTATTTTGTTAAATCTAACAAATGCTGATTTAGAAACAAAATGTTTTACTGTTTAATCCACAGTAAATAAATAAAAAAAAGACCAATTAGCATTACATGCTAATTCGAAAGTAAAAACAAAACATGTTCTGCAAGCTAGCTGCTAGTTAGCATGGTTCCTATTAATTTACTTTTAAAGATTCAAATGTATTAGCAATGTGGATGTCTTAAACCCATTAGTTTACTTTTATTATAAGTGGGGAAAAAGGAGAAACAAAAACGTGTGTTGCTAATGCTAACAAAGCTAGCTTAGCAGGATTGCAGCAAGTTCTGTTTTTTCCTTAAAACAGTGACTTTTTCACATTTTGAACAACCTTTAATTCATACATCTCACTGTGTTAACTATGTATGATTAAAATATATTTTAAAGTTGTCTAAAATGTTTAGCAGCTTAGCTTACGAGCATGTCAAGTTAAAGCGCGTCTCCAAAACAGTACGAAATGTTAGAACAGTGCTGTGCCTTTCAGCTGTGATATATGGTGCTACGATATGGGTTAGCTGTTGATTTAAAAATTTCAACTTGACAAAAAGCACAAAAAGTGATAAAGAACATGCGTAAACAAAGCACAGGTTATCTCATGAGAGGACTTTTACCGTTAGCTCATCTAATGCGTTTGGCAGTAACAACTTAAATGGAAGTATTCAGTCGTTGTTTGGTCCAGGATAACTAAGTACACACACATACAGACATGTATACCTGAAATGATCTGTACAATAAAGCAGGGAAGACAACATACCACACATTGTATCAACACACAGGATAAACTCACAGATACTGCTAAGATTGGAAGAAAGAATGTTTGTCTAGTCTGAGGACACTTTAACAGACTTAGCTTTGATGAACATTTTATGTAGAGAAGCTAATCAAAGCTCTTTTTAGTCCTTTTGCAGCAGCATTGGCAATAGTCACCATAAGAAAAGATCTATTCTTGTTGAATGTGCAGGAGAGACGCCTGGATAATTGAATCCATATTTTCATTTTGTTTGTGTCTCAGTGGTCTTACAGTTGCTGGAGATTCAAAACAGACTCCACAGATTCCACAATGCTTGCAGCGATATGGCTTGACCTAAAATATCAGTAGCAATCACTTGGATATACTGACCGTATCAAGTTTTGTGTACCAGACACACATCCCTGCGGAACACCAAATTGCTCTCAGGTATTGTTTAGCCAAAAGTGAACACTGTCATACCACGTCTTTGGATTCTCAAATCAGCTCTTCAATAATTACTTATGAATCAACTCATGTTGACGGCTGCCAGGAGATAATACTTGATTTTAAGGACGTATTCGAGATCTGCGTTCAGTTAATTCCATCATCCAGAGGTCTCTTTGGCTTCCCAAACTTTTACCGTGCGGTCACTATAAACACAAAGAAAATGGTAATCAACATTAGTAAGGGGTACGAACCGTGTGTCAAGCATCGCCATGTTCAGAATCAGACTCACTCAGAAGCGGTGAACAGTTGGTTGCTGTTGGTTGACAAACCATTGATGGGACTGCTGTGCCCCTGGACCTCCCCAAGAGGCGTGAGGGAGTCGGTGTGCCAGAGGCGAAGCATCCCTCCTCTGCACCCAGTGAGGAGCACCGGGGAGCCTGGCACCACTCCCATAGCACTAACCCAGTCTGTTTGGGCACTGGCCAACTGTTGGAAAACAAAACAACGTAAGCGTTTATTCTGCTGCTCAGATCTTTTCTAATTCAGGGTTAAAAGCTTGTGTTACCACTTTACCTGTAATAACCTTTTACTGGCCATGTCCCACTTTTTAATACAAAAATCTCTGGAGCTGCTGTAGAAAACGTTTTCATGCACAGCCAGACATTCCACGCTGTCCTGGTGCGCTGGCTCGAACGTGTGGCTGGAGCTGATGCTCCCCTGAGCACCTTCTGCCACTTCAAACATCTGAAAAACAAACAAAAACAAAACATTTAACCAAACATTAGAGGTTTAACGGTGTGAGCAAGTCATGGTTTGGTAGGGGTTTGCTACAACAAGAAACATACATGCCAAGTATTTGCTTTGTGGTCTTTTAAACAAAACTGCAGTTTGTGGGTGTGTTTCCACCAACAGACAGATCGACTCACTCTTGATTAGTTTCACTTTCCAATCAGTGTAGGGTAAACATTTGGGCTGACACAAACAGTGGGGGCTAGCAAACTATGAAAAAAACACAAGCTAGCTCCTCAGACTAAGAGAGGCTAACATACTCATTGTCTGGTACCAGTGTTGGTCAGAGACCTGTACCGTGATGGTTTAGTTCAATTCAAAATTCAATTAAAAAATACTTTATTAATCCCAGAGGGAAATTATTTGTTGTTGTAACTCGTTATCTTCATTTCATTAAGAGATGTTATAGATGCTGATGGCTGTAGGCAGGAAGGATCTCTTGTAAAGGTACATCCCACAGTGGATCCTAAGAAACTGGCTGCAGATGCCGTCCGATCCGTCCACCCAGACTCGGCTGGCCTCTCGGTTCCCCCGGGCTGTAGGACCGCCCAAATGCAGGGCAGAACTCCTCCCAGAGCGACGGCCACTCCTCCCAGCAGTCTGCCGAGCTCCTCGTCGCTGCGGACAGCCAACTGTAGGTGCCGAGGGACGATCCTGTCCTTCCTCTGTCATGAGCCGTGTTTCCTGCTAGTTCCAGGATCTCAGTGGTCAGGCACTCGAGCACAGCTGGCAGGTAGATGGGAATGCGTCCACAGAACATCCTTTTCAACTCACTTGAGATTTTGGGGCTGTAGTTGAGATTTTATTTGATCTTTTGAGATGTTAATCAGCTGCTGTTGGTTGTAGAAAACTGCCTTGTTGCCATGGTTATGCATCAAAACAAATGTCCAAAACTAAAAAAGTTTCAGTAAAAATCCTTCCAGCTGCACAGCGTCTGATACGAGAGGAAACAATGATCCAAAAAATGTGATTTACATCCAGAAAAAGAGGAATTAAAGTTTCCAAAAGCAAAATCTCAGAATGAAAGTAACAGAGCTGCTCCAACATGCAGCCACCTTGAGCGGCGCAATTCTAGAGCCCCCCTGCTATCTACCCAAGCCGTTTCTTTTCCATGTGCACAGCCGTATTTGTGTTTACCATGTCTTACTTTAATATGATGGTCTTTGGAGCCAGTGAGCACAACGTCCTGCCCGTGGCCAAACTTTTCCACAGCTAGGCTCACGACAGGTCCCAAATGACCAGTCAACTTTCCCGTTGACACAAACCTAATAAATTAATAAATAAACACGCATTTTAAAGTTTGTGCAGTGACAAATGGTTTGCGAGACTTGAATTCCAGCGTACTTGCGGAGGTCCCACATGCGCACTGCGTTGCCAGCGGCGGCGTACAAGAAGGAGGCGGATGGATCGAGGGCGATTTGGTTGATCTGACTCTCCCCTTGTGGGATGGATAAACTCCTGACAGAGGAGCACGTGTCCCCCGAGCTCACTTGACCTGATGATCTGAAACACAACAACAAAAAACAACTCAATAAAGAACCCGTATAATGGATTAAATTTACCTTAGCATGTTGGATGCACAGTGTACTTACGTCAGTGTGCGGATGCACTTGGCCGAGTCTCGTATGTCCCAGACTTTGATGTAAGCAGTGGAAACCGTGAAGACCAGGCTGGATGTGTACCTAAAATAAAACCAACAACATAATAAATCAAAAGAACATTCACCAGCTTTAATATTGTTGCTGAATACTGACACTGGATCGCACCTGACTGAGACAACACTACTGGGATGATCCGCTAGAGACATGATCTCCTGTCCCGTCACCAAGTTCCACACCTTACAGGTACGATCTGAAACAAAAATGTTTGTTTCATCAAAAAAAAAAAGGACGGAGAACTCAAACTTTCCTTTAAGGCGGTGCGGTGAGAACAGGTTTTACCTTTGGACCCTGTGAAGAGCAGGTCATCTGTGGCGTCTACGCAAAGAACCGGTTTCGTGTGACCTTCGGCTACGTGGACGCACTGAATTTTGGCGCCACGGCTGTTTTTTGGAGCTGCTACAGGATTGATCACACCTCTACAGTACACGAGATACAACAGTTTTACACAATGTTGCAATTTGCTGTTTTTATTTACCAAACAGACTTTTGTAAAAAAAAAAAAAAAACTTTAGTATTTATATAAACCAGCTTAGTTACGACTTATTAGATTAGTAACAAAAGTATTAGCGTGTTTGTTTGTAGCCGACAGTTGCTATGACAACAAAATGATATGGCACATTATTTGGTAGTTTAAGAAAGCGTAGCAATAAAAAAGTGAAGTGAATTTACCTGTGCCCTTCAAATACAGGTGATTCCTCCAACCTGAGCACGAACAAAACACAGAGATAAGAGAGTGATCAGGTGACAACTTTAGGTTAAATAAAAACCCAGAATCACCAGCCTCAAAATGTGCACAAAGCTCAAATTAAACGTCTTGAGCTGAACAAAGACAATTCTGAATTGCTAAAAAAAAGTACAACTACATACTATCGTTTGGAAATAAAATTAGCTTTATTATATCAAATCTGATATTATCAGGATGTAAGGTGACATTTGAAAGTAAATAAAATGTGGTTAAAAGCAGTGTCAGTATTGATAAGATAAAATATGATACAATATGATTCAAGGTTCATGTGGTGGAATGAAATTTTGTACACAGGGTCCCAGTTACGTCCACCAAAAGTATAAAATGTAAAAGGAAAACAGTAATAAGATCTAAGTTAAAAATGCACTAAGCACTAGTAGTATATAAACAATAAAAACATTACGCTGAACAGCAGCACGAACGTGAGTCTGTGTTTGCAGACGAGCACGCATGAACACAGCAACATGAAACACATCAGTCAAGTCAGATTTATTTATAGAGCACATTTAAAACAGAAACTGTTACCAATGTGCTTAACAAAAATATCACATCAAATAAAAAGTAACAAGATATATTTACAGCACATGGAGTAAAATATAAAACAGAAAACATAATTAGAAACGATGAAATACTAAATCAGATCTGATCACCCTGTGTTAAATGTCAATGAGCACAGGTGTGTTTTTAGGAGAGTTTTAAAAATAGAGACTGAGATGGCCTGTCGAATGTTGATGGGCAGATTGTTCCAGAGTTTAAGGCCCACGACTGAAAACGCCCGATCTCCTCTGAGCTTCAACCTGGTTTTTGGTACCACCAAAAGCAGCTGGTCTGATGATCTCAAAGCCCGAGAAGGAGCATAAGGATGAAGAAGGTCGGAGAGGTATGAGGGTGCAAGGCCGTTGATGCACTTAAATGTCAGCAGGAGAATTTTAAAATTGATCAGCAGCAACATTGAAACATATCAGCAGCACCATGATGTGATTTTTCACAGTGATTTCTCCTGGTTAGAGATTCATGAGTCTAACAGCCTCAGGGTAGAAGCTGTTCCTCAGTCTAGTGGTTCTACACTTAATGCTCCTCAAACTCCTTCCTGAGGGAAGCGGGGAAAAAAGTGTGTGTGCTGGGTGAGTGGGGTCCTTCATGATGCAGGTGGCTCTCTTCCTGCATCTGTTAGTTAGTTTATTTGACAGGGACAGTGCACACAAACATTGAAGTCACAAGTCTGTGACTGATGCGTTGCACAAAGAGTATATAGCTACAGCTAATTCACAACTCCAGTCCCTGGTTGGGCATTTTTATGCATTAAAATAAAACAATTTATCAATCAAAATACAGTAAGAGTACCTACGTACTCCTGCCTACATATTCATGTAATCAACCTAACAACCTCAAATTTCATATAATAAAAACTTTACATTAAAATGCAAACGATTTAAAAATCTTAATACAATAAAAATACAAACATTTTCCTCTACAAATTCTAAAATAACTTTGCAACCCACAAATGTACATAAACATCATAGCACCTCCCCATCCTCACACATTCAGCTAACATAGTAAAAATTGTAAATATAATACTAACTCACTAATACATACACTCCCACAAAGACTTTTGCATCCATAAAATCAGAGTATTCAAAATGATCACATCTTTGGTTTTCCTTTAGCCAACATTTAGTCATATAAACAAACTTTTTAAGTTCAGGTATAGCTTTTACATGTGGGGGCAATAAGTTTAACTTTATAGGAAAAAGAAGTCTGACCAAACTAGGTTCTACATACGGGAGTTAAGCAATTCTGTTTTAAAGATCCTCTAGTGACTCTGCAACTGTTTTGCTTCTGTATAAATGAGCTCAGTGGATGAGGAGCTAACTTACTGATACACTTAAAAATTAATTTAAGAAAACATAAGTTAGAAAAGCTTTCAAAACTCATCCAGTTATGTTTGTCCAAGGTTAGACAGTGATGTGATCTTATTGGCTTTTTGTCCATTACTTTTATTGTTTGGTTACACAATGAGACCATTGGCTTAATAGCCGTTGTAGTAGCCTGGGCCCATGATGTCATACAATATGAGATATGAGAGAATATCATGGCATGCATATACTGAAGAGCAGCCTGTACAGGAATATAAGGTCTTATTAATTTGAAACAATTAAGGTTTCTTTTGATTTTTTTTGGAAATGTTGTTTATATGATTCTCAAACTTTATACGTGGATCTAAAAACAGCCCAAGATATTTGAATTCTGTTACAGTTTTTAATCATTTCATCCTGTAAATAAATTAGAAATTTGTGTTGTACATGTTGTTTTCTAATGGAAAAGCACATCGACACGGTTTTACTTAAATTGATTACTAACTCATTATTGAAAAACCAACGGTTCACTTCCTCCATACAGGAAGGCAAGACATCCAACCACCGCTGTATCATCTGCAAACTTTACGACATGTGACCTGATACCAAACAATGTAAAACAATACAATACTGTACAATGCGATATTGTGCAATGCGATACTGCACAACACAATACTGTACAATGCGATACTGTGCAATAGGATACTGTACAATGCGATACTGTACAAATACGATGCTGTACAATACGATACTGTACACTACGATACTGTACAATACGATACTGCACAATACAATACTGCACAACAGGATACTGTACAATATGATACTGCACAACACAATACTGTACAATACGATACTGTACAATAACATATTGTACAATATGATACTGTACAATATGATGCTGTACAATACAATACTGTGCAATAGGATACTGTACAATACGATACAATACAATACGGTACAGTACAATAACATACTGTACAATACAATACTGTGCAATAGGATACTGTACAATACGATACAGTAAATACGATACTGTACAATACGATACAATGCAATACGATACAGTACAATAACATACTGTACAATACGATACTGTACAATACGATGCTGTACAATACGATACTGTACAATAACATACTGTACAATGCGATACTGTACAATATGATGCTGTACAATACGATACTATGCAATAGGATACTGTAAAATACGATACAATACAATACGGTACAGTACAATAACATACTGTACAATACAATACTGTACAATACGAAACTGTGCAATACGATACTGTACAATGCGATACTGTACAATACGATACAGTAAAATACGATACTGTACAATACGATACAAAACAATATGATACAGTACAATAACATACTGTACAATACGATGCTGTACAATACGATGCTGTACAATACGATACTGTGCAATAGGATACTGTACAATACGATACAGTACAATAACATACTGTACAATACGATACTGTATAATACAAGACGATTCAATACTTTACAATACAGTATGAAACTGTACAATATGATACAGTACAATAACATACTGTACAATACAATACATGATAGAATAGTATGATACAATTCAAAACTGTACGATACTGTAACATTCGATATTATTCAATACGATTAAATATGATTTTTTACGATATGACTGTACGTTAGGATGAGTTTTGATGTTGTATAATGTCATTCGATCTGATACAATATGAAAAAATATGATAAAGAGTGTTACAATACATATACAATGTGATATGGTATTATATGATTCAATGTAATACGATGCAGCCCAATAAAATAAGATACAATTTAAAAAATATATATTAAGGTACAGTGCAGTATGATCCAATATGATAATATAATATGAATATGATAGTATACGACTTGATACAGTTTTGGACCAGTACAATACAATATGGTACAATTAAGTACAAGATAACAATGTAGGGTGCAACACTATAAATTAATTAATTAAATTAACAGTACAGTAGGATATGATAAAAACATTATGGTCGTGTTTGGGACGTTTGTTTGGACTCAGTGCAGTTCAAACAGGAGCCGTCACAAAAGATCCAGTAATAAACTTGGAGCTGAGTAAACTTTCGAAATACAAACCTGTTCCACCTGTGTGACATGTTGTACAGTTTTCAGAATTTTAACTTACGGTGGTTTGTAGTCGCTGCCTTTTGTTTTGGTTTCTGGTGCTCCCACTGATGGAGTCTGTGCTGGGAGCTGAGACAGGAAGAGTCCTTTCTCTTGAGTCTTCCTGCGGTTGAGTGGCGAGCGTTCCAGTTGTTTCCTCTCAATCGGCGTAGGTGACCTGGATCCAGACCTACAACAGGAATCAGGGGATGTTCACCTCTTATAAGCAAACATCTCAAACCTGTGAGAGTCACTATTGGTGCGATAAGACAGACCAGACCTGGTGATGCTCTTGTCTACAGAGAAATCTCGTCTTTGACACTTACATGCCAGCTGGTCTGGCAGACGGTGCAGACGGGGAAGAAGTTTGCTCCCGGTCAAAGCTCTGACCAGCTGCAAGCCCCGGCACGTCTGCTGGTCCTTCCAGACTCTCTGTGAGGGGCAGCAGAGGGGACAAGATGTCTCCGGTGGGGGACACGCAGGACAAATTCCCACTGTTGGCGTAAAGCAGCTCCATCTGGGTGGTGGTTCGCCGTCGAGCCTGAGAGACCAGAATAGGTTGGAACGATATCAACGACATCCACAAGTCTTAAATAACTTTCTTTATAACTGAAAAGAAGAACAATGGCTCCAACTGTCCAGAAATGACAAACGAAAATGGCGTAGTTACTCTACCTTGCTTTTGGGCTTGACTTCACCACATAGCTTCATTAAGTCTGACGACAGAGTGCTGAAACACACAACGAACATTCAGTCATGTGCACACACGCTCGTATTCTGCAGGAGTTCAAGCTTTGATTTTTAACATTAAAAATCTGGATTTTTTTATTCTTTACGTGGTATAAAAACTTTTTTTTTTTACCATTATCTGCGATATTCTAAGTTTTTCTTTATTAGACCCATTTTGACCCTGATTTTAAATTCCCTAGGAGTGTTTTGTTTGTACCCATTGGTCCATAATTTATCATCCTACTTAGGGATGCACGATAATATCGGCATGGTATCGGTATCAGCTGATATTAGCGTTAAAGTTAAATATCGGACCTTCCATTAAAATAACTCACCGATATAAAAGACGCCGTTTTTGTTTGACAACCCAGTGACAAGGATGACTGCAGCGGCAGCACAACGTGATGACGTCATGCATGCCAAAATATCGGTATCGGCCAAATAAATTTTAATATATCGGCATATCAAGCAAAAATCCAATATTGTGCATCTCTCATCCTACTGTGTTTTTTTCTTTATTACACCAAAGTCTTCAACAGTACAAACAAGATGGACTACTGGACAGCATCATATGCTGCAATGCAGAAACCTATGTTTGCTAAAGTAAAAACACATTTGTACATTACAAGTTTAAAGGTCTTATACACAGTTTGGCTTTAGTTTTTTGCACAATTTCAATGTGTGAGTTTGTTGCGCTGCATTTTGATTATCACCATTTCAATCAGTGACTGCAGTTTTTGTTTGTTGCCGCAACAAAAACTATTTACCAGGCGGGAATTATTAAAACTCATCTGTCCCTATATCTAAATATATGTTTTGCCACTAATAATACTATTCTGCTACAAGAACAAAATTATACCTACTACTGTTTAGTACTAAAATAATATTTGTGTAAAATAACCATAAAAATGCAATTTTTCCTATTTGTGCCCGCTCAGTAAGAAGAGAGCAGTTTGTCTGTTTATGCAGATCTTAACATCAGAACCATGACTGGTTCCACTACCTTTAATAAATCATACTTTCTGAAATATACAACAACGATTGTGTTTATTTTTCCTGAGTGGAGCGTGTACCTGCCATCAGTGGCCGGACTCTGGGTGGACTCGTCACTGCTGCTGTCATCTCCATTCTCTGCTCCGGGGTAAACACAAACATCCCCTGAATTATTTACACAGTTTATAATAAAATATCTTGTTTTCTTAAAAAATGGCTGCACCCATTCAGTAAGCACTGCAGGGATGTTCTGCTTCAGCAGCTTATAACCGTGTCAGGGCTCACAAAGAACAGTTTTAGATACAGGAAGTTCACGTGGTGAGGGGTGAACGGAGACAAGAAGGTTCAAACACAGGAACAAAAACTGCTGTGTAGCTCTGAGGTGTGATCAGCTGACGGTTTTACTGCCGTTAGTGACCACAGACTGATGAATTAGGACACATCATGCACATAACGGCTGTTAATTGGTCTGAGTTAGTCTAACAGAGATGCACACCACAAGATTTCTTACCTTTTATTATTTATTACAAGGTAAGACAATTGCTTCAAAAGGAATTTAAAAAAATCCTGCTTTTATTTCTAGGAATGATGCATTCAGTGATGAAGCAATAACCTCTACAGGCTTTTAAAGTTTATCTGCATAGATTGTATAAAGTGGGAGCAGGATTGATGGGAATCGTGTTGTGTGCACGTTCTGTACCTGTCAACACACGACTACACATCTGTTACTCACCTGGTGGTAGGAACCCTAACTCTGAGTTCACACCGACAACAGAGAAAACAAACAAAGAATAAATCAAAATCAAACTCGGGGATGAGAAAACAGCTACGCTTTAGTTGGCGGGCTTCATTTCTGCTTCTCAGACACAAGACAAAATAATTTTTTTAAAGAAAATCGTGGAATATCTGAAAGTTTTGTTGCTAATTTACTGAAGCTTGCAAACTAAAACGCAGCCGGTTAAACAATGTAAAAACCAAAAGTGAACAGTGATGGTGATTGACATGCTCTTTATTTTCTATACATTAACGATACTCGTATAGACAAAAGCATATAGACATCGTAAAGACAGCAAGGAGATCAATGTCCCTCCCCAGACATGGGCAACAGTGAGGGTCCTGCCCCTCTCCTTGAGGAGGGCAGGACCTTATTCCACTCTGGAGTTGCCCATGGTGAGAAGTGCCAGCTGATGTGGGTCTACTTATAGTCAGAGTCAGAGTCAGAGTTTCTTTATTGTCATTCACACCTCATGTGGTACATGTGGTGGAGCGAAATTATGTACACAGCGGCCCGGATTGGAGTTTTCCCCGGTAAACAAGAGGATAGCTTCCCTGCTCCTTTGGGTGGGGGACAGGCTGATTGTTATACGTCTATGAATACCCACCCATCTTAATGGGGGTGCTGGAAGGTGCTCCAGCTATGGACCATTATTCTGCTTGTGGGCAGCGACAGTGTAACCCAGAGGGGAGTGATTGGGAGGAACAGCCTCTCTGATCTGAACCTGAGTGGCGTTCTGTTGTTGGACGTCTGTTCTGGTCACGGTTTGTCCAACACGAACACCATGTTCGAACATACGGGTGTCCATAAGTGCACTTGGCACCAGGACGCCCTTGGTCGTAGATCGATGATTGACTTCATAGTCGTGTCATCTGATTTGTGGCCATTTGTTTTGGACACTAAAGTGAAGAGAGGAGCTGAGCTGTCAACTGATCACCACCTGGTAGTGAGTAGTATCAGATGGTGGGAGAAGATACTGGACAGACCCGGTAGACCCAAACATGTAGTGGGGGTTTGCTGGGAACACCTGGTGGAAGAACCACTCATGAAGATGTTCAACTCCCACCTCTGACAGACGCTTAACCACATCCAAGCAAAGCGGGCCATGTTCTGCACCTCCGTTGCTGAGGCGTCTGTGGAAACAGATGTCTGGACCTCCCTGCTCAAGCTGCTTCGCCCGCGACCCAACTTCAGAACAAGCAGCAGCTAATGGATGTATGCTCAGAGTACCGATCGTCTCGGTGTTTCCCACCTTGCAGGGCGTTGCCCAGCAGTGCGTCCAGCTCTGGGTTGATCTCAGCCTTTTCCTTCAGCATGTGGAAGAGCAGCTGGTTCTGGGTGGCGCTGTTTATCTCCGTCTGCTTCAACCGGCCCTCCATCACCTTCAGCTGGGAATCTTTCTGAGCCGCCTGCAGACCCTGACAATGAACAGAACAGACGGGTTTTGTTTATATGCACATAAATGTGCACAACGTTAACTAAAACAGGTTCCCCGCCTTATGATGATGCTATAATTACTTCCACCCCTTCGTTGGTTGTTTTCATCTCTGTTTTGGTCTTTGCGTCTGGGTTTTAAACATTCTCTTATTGGACAACCTTCATTTTATCTCGATTCAATCAGATTCAGATCCAGATCCAGAAAAAAGGTGAACACGGGGTCAGAGGTCACAGCCAGCAGAGCGCTTCATGCTGCAGATTTTGTTTTATGTTTGAAAACTCCTAAATAATTCAGAGACCGGCCCAGACGTGTTGACTTCATGTTAAAACAAACAGTGACAGAATCTGGGGGGAGGCGGGTACCTTATTGATGGCCATGGTCATAAAATTGTCCAGAAGGAATCGAACTTCTGATAAGTTGCAGGAGCTGATGACAGCAGTAACGTCCACAGGGTCTCCTTCCTCCTGCAGTCCAGAGAAACAACAGTTCAAATATTTTTTTCTTTTAATACTCACTTGTTTAATGTCTATAGATGACATTTTTACATCAAAAGCAGTGCACATGTAATATAGTTAAGAGTTTAGAAAAATACCGTAAACAGGAAGAGAGAATGTTGGACCAGGTTATTTTATTAAAGCAGTTCTGAAGGTGAAAGGGGGTCGTAAACAGTATTTATCAGGACGGCCACAGCACGAGTTCAACAACACACATCCTAGAGTACTACAGCCCAACCAATATATCAGTAGAGCTGATATTTTAGGCTGATATAGGCGTTTGGGGACATATCAGTATCAGCGATAATTGTCCCATTTTGCACTGATATAAACAAGTTGTGTAAAACTTAAAAAGTTGTGTAACTTGCAAAAGGCGCAATTGTACAATGTATCCAGCAGAGGGCGCATATGGACTACTTTCAAGTCATGGCTGTTCACTTAAGTTTCACTTTCACTTTCAGCACAGCTGAAGCAGTGAGCAAAACTGTGTAGCATATTTTGCTGAACAGAGCAAGAAAAGTTTATTTTACTGATGTGTAAAATAAAAAAATAAAAAAATTATCTTCAATCCTTCAACCCGCTTGTCATTAGCTACATGCCTCTCAAGTTAGCAAGCTAACGTTTAAATAACCTAGCATTGTTACACCTTGTAAAACTTTATTCAGAACAATAAATATAACGTAGAGTGAAATATTTCAGTGTTAATAACGTTATCTTTGTCGACATCATTAAAATATATTGTTTGTCTGAAATCTTTACTTCACTGCAAAGAAAAATATAACGTTGCTGCAGTCGATACTAATTAGACTTTCACCATACGTGACTGTTTAAACACTGAACAGGAAGGACGTTTGTTTAATTTATATTTTTGTAACACAATTGATAACTTTATGGTGAACAGTGGAGGATAGAAAATGTGAACGCATGTTGAAACAGGTTTAAAGTAGCTGTTTATTTAGATTACTGGGTGGGGGACAAAACAAAACAAAATTCAGCCAATATATCGGTTATTGGCATTAGCCTTTCCCTCCAAATGTCAGTATTGGTGATAGCCACAACTTCCATATTGGTTGGGCAGCAGAACTGCATTAAAAGTCCAAAGAAGAACCCAGACGGCCCAACAGCTGATCAATATTTGGACTTTTTGTTCCCAGTGGAAGCAGAAAGGTTGAGAGACATCAGACCAACAGCCTCGTCGTTCATACCAGCAGGTTCTAATTTGCACTATTTAAACACAACCATTCATCAAAGCAGCTTAAGATAAATTATGGAAGAATAAAGAACAAATTATATGAATATTAGAGAACTAACAGGGCAGACTGATTCATTACAGCCCTGCTTTTATTGTTTCTGGGTGATCTTGTGAGTCAGTGGTCCAGAGTTGTGAATTTTGACCTTTAGAGTAATTATTTTAGTATAAAATAGACTCCAGAGGTTCCTCCACATGGCTCACCTTGGCCTCCTCCATCTGCATGATGTTGGCCTGGCACTCAGCGATGCTGTCGTTGATGTAGTCCACGTTGGCGCTCAGAGACTCCAGCTCCTCGTTCAGGGACGCCAGCGAGCGGTCGGTGTCCGCGCCGTCCACCGCCATCTTCTCCCTCTTCCTGGACAGCCGCTCCTTCCGCCTGGTCAGCTCCTCCCGTTGCTGGAGAAAAGGCAAAAAGCGGGACGATAACGTTTCAACTTTTTTTTTATATTTAGAAACAAGTACAAAGCTTTGTTTATTGTTTCCAGAGCCTCTTGGACATTCCTCACAATAACCTCCATGTTTTACCTTCAGCAGTCGGTTCATGTCTGTCTCCATGTTGGAGATGGTCATCCTCTGCATGATGATGTCACTGACACGCCTCTCCAAAGACTGCCACTTAGTCCGGGCGGTTCTGTTGTGGTAAATGGTTGCCATCCGCACAGGGGACCTCCTGACGTGAAGAGAAGTATGTGACTCTGTCTTAAACCCTGTGTGTGTGCGTTTGTCACATGTCGTACCTGGTGCCGTTTGAAGCGCTCAGAGCCGATGGCTGCGGTCTTCCAGGGTTTCCTCTCTGTGAAGGCTCCTGGGGAGACTCGGGTGAGCTCACCTTCCTGCTCACTTTCCCAGACATGGGCCTGACCTGTCGCCTCAGAGCCGTCACCTGCCGACAGGACCACAGGAGTCACATCCAAACCCACGAGACGTGTGAACGCTGGCGGCTCGGCCCACAGCTGACCGGAGGGTCAGGAGTTTGATCCTCAGCCACTGCAGCGTGCCCATAGGCAAAACATTGTACCCCCGCTGCTCACCAAAGATAAACTGAGTGTTGAATGAAGTGTACAAATATATAACTGAAAACATGGCGTAAGTGTGACCGAGTGAAAACGATGTAAAGGACTTTGCACAACCTGGAGACGTTTAAATAAATTATAGAGACCATTTACTTTTAGCTATCATTCATTTAATTTTAGCTATTCATTTAAGTTTAGCTATCATTCATATAATTTTAGCTATCCTTCATTTACTTTTAGCTATCATTCATTTACTTTTAGCTATGATTCATTTACTTTTAGCTATGATTCATTTACTTTTAGCTATGATTCATTTACTTTTAACTATGATTCATTTAATTTTAGCTATGATTCATTTACTTTTAGCTATGATTCATTTACTTTTA